GAGACTGCTGAGAGGGAATGAACGGTCTCGGTTCCACGGATTTGTTCTCCTGTGCTACCTCTCTGTGCATGCCCGCAATAATGATGCTTTGGATCAACCCCAAAGTAATGGTGAACTTAAGGGTGTTCTACTTGGATTTTCACAAATGAATAGCTGGGATTTAGAAAAGGGGTTAGTTTTTAATGTGATTAAGGTGATTAAGGTGTGTCTCTTCTAATTAATTTGTTTTTATAGATTATTTTGATTGATGATATATCTCTATTTTCTTTCTCTGATTTGCAGAAAGTATATCTACTGCTAAGAAGACTTATAGGGTGACTCTTGAGTTTTTAGAGGATAATATGGGTGTTACTAATTTTGGAGTTAAATTTATATTATTTCCTTGACACTCAATTTGCCAGTTCACTATTCATGTGGTGAACGTGTTTTTTGCTATTCAAATAGTTTTACTATTCAATACAATGTTTAGTGTAGTTTATCATAAAGTCTTTCACAATTACTCATTCTATTAGCAACTTAGGATGTTTTCTTTTCGACTGTTTTCAGTTCCAGATCAGACCAGACTTCCGTAATTATAAAATACACAGAGACCAGACGTTTACCATTATGGCCTTATGGAGTTATGGGTAAAACCGTTTATCATTGATGTTACTATTCAATACAATGTTTAGTGTAGTTTATCATAAAGTTTATTAGAGACTTCCTTTTACAGTTTTACACTCGGACGCTTGATGTTACAAACAACAAGATAGGCTATTTAGTGTGCCCATGGAGCTAAAATATAACCCAATTAAATAAAATATAATTATATCTATATACTTATATGTGTCCAAATACGTTTTCAAGTAGTCTTGAATTAGTTGATTTTATCCTAACATTGGAAAGGGAATCTTGATTTTTCAAATACTCCACTCCGCCTTGCTCTGATCTTTTTCCGTTTTTTTGCTTGATATTTGGTTAAGGTCAAATATGTTTTATTATCGGCCATTTCTGGCCATTTGCAAAGAACCACGACGGCAAACCAATATCATACATACTCCTGTCTATCTCTGCAACCCAAATGTGCTTCTGTAATATTCACCCACTCAAGCATCCACTTTTGAAAAAACCATTATATTTTTGTAATAAATGTTGATGTTATTATTATTAAACCTAATTTTTAGGAAGATATTATTTGGTAAAATATATTTGCTGATAAAGTTGATGAATTAAGACACCCTATTGTTGCCATTACACCGCCACTACACTGGATCTTAACAAGTTTGTTATGGATCAAGTGAAAGCTTACCTTTACAAGATGAAAAATAAATTGGTAGGCATTCATAATGGGTGTGTTTTGTATTTCATGAATGATGATAAACATAATCACATAGATGCTATCAATTTGCTTTAAGTTGTGTCATTTAAAAGCTTTTTTTGTTACATTGGAATTTTCATTACTAAGTATTTACAGAAAATAATCACATGAATTTGATTTATTATGTGTATGTTCCGTCTCTTTTTTATTTGCAGAACGTTCATCAAGATAGCTCAAGAGAATTACAAAGTAAATTTGATTGGTACCTTATAGTTGGTGTATATATTCTTAATATGTTGTAAGGTACAAAAAAGTTGTAATTTGTTATTGTTATAATCACTTGCTTCCAATTTGATTGTTTGATTTATATTTAAGTAATAAATGTTAGATAGCCATTTCTTGGCATACACCATGGGCTTAAAATTTAGAAGCAAGTGAAAATTAACAATGAACCATTTAATTTAGAAACAACTACCATATTCTTTTAAATTTGGAATAGCGTATAGTAATGTAAATGATACACTAAGATGAACAATTAACCATTTTATTATATACTCTGTATTACATTTATTAACAACAAACATACATAGTTTTGAATAATATTGGGGTACATTTAGCTGGAAAATACAAAGATATACATTATTATGTGGTAGAAATTATGAGATATATTAAAACATGGTTACAAACTTTATTACTCGATGCGTTGTTATTTTACAGATCTTAGATGAGATTTTACCATGAACCGATCGGATCAAAATAGAATCATGAAAAGCAATGCACATTGAGACTAACAAGTCATAGTGGAAACGGTTCGGGTTCATCCTTAGGATGTTTTCTTTTGGACTATTTTCAGTCCCAGACCAGACCAGACTTCCGTAGTTATAAAATACACAGGGACCGGACATTTACCGGACCAGACCAGATCAGACCAGACCAGCAAATTTTAGTCCAAAAAAAAACATCCTTAGACTTCTTAATTGATCACACCCACAATGAACATTAATAAAACTTTTAAGCTTATTATTGGATAAGCTATTTATAGTGATCAACAAAGTGAGGAGTCTAACTAGGTTGAAGTCTACACACATATGAACAAAGTAAGAAGTCTAGCATGTATCACAAAATATTTGTAAGCAATTAACAAAAACTAATGACAGTTGTCACCCTATACAACAAGAGTTCAATAATTTGCAATTTTTTTTATCTTGGTCTACTTTATTTAAAAACAATATATCCATTGTTCTATCTTTATCATCATACTCCTATATATTTCCATGTGATTTATTGCTCACTAACTGCATCCCGTGCGAAGCACGAGTGAAAATCTAGTTGAAGGCTTAAATTTGTTTTGCTTTGACACAATATCCTTTTATTTATCATTTTATCTCATTCTTTATTTTTTTTAAATCACGTCAAATCCAAATACGTCAATTATATTCCATTTTTTGCAAAGCAATTTTAAGATTCACGCACTTTATAAAGGACTCATGAGGAACGAGTAATTACAATGTTTTTTTCTTGTTTTGGTCCCAAGCCATCCCCTGTTTTTTCCCTTTCCCTTTACGCTGTACATCCGTTTTAATCTCAATAGAATTTAAACCTCTCCTAAAAAAACACTTATGAGTAAAAGTGATCAAATTCATAATAGAAATTGTCCCGAATAGGATTAAAAACGTTTGGAAATTTTGAAAAAGGACTGTCATATTTATATTTCCTAAATTGGCATTATTCTGTTAAGACTCGGGGTTCCATCCTAAAAGGTCAACCTGATAGGAGGAGTAGCCCAAAGCCTTATATAATGTGTAATTGTTTTATAGCTTTCTGGTGTGGGACAAATGCTTCAACACGCCTCCTCAGCCCGAACCGGGCTGGACAATATCGGGGTGTATAAACGGGCCAAACAAACCCTTAACAAACTACCCTTAATCATGGGTAGTTTACAAGCCGTCAAACCACAACCGGAATTGGCTCTGATACCATGTTAAGACCCGGGGTTCCATCCTAAAAGGTCAACCTGATAGAAGGAGTAGCCCAAAGCCTTATATAGTGTGTAATTGTTTTATAGCTTTCCGGTGTGGCACAAATGCTTCAACATATTCTGTCAAGTTTGGAAAAAACATCATGTTCAAATTAAGCGCGGTAATGCCAAACTTGACAAAATCACTCTTATTTAGGGAACAAATACACGACGGTGCTAAATAGGAATTTTAATGTCAGCATGCTTTGTAATGCATGTGATGTTAGATGATTGAACATGCAATCGTCTCACAACAAATTATCTCACAAAGGGCTGAAAGGGGAAATTGGTTGATTCTACTTGGGCTTTTGAGTTATCATACTAGCAGCTTATTCGTTTAGAGCAGGTTAACATGCTCAATAAATCTACTTATTAATTATAATCACTGTACCTCATCCATCATGTTGAAAAACACAAGTTTATTATTACATAGTTTGAAATATGTATTCCTATCTTTGGCAAGCTTGCTTGCAAAGGGATTTTGCAAGTCGTAGAGCTTTAATTCGTAGGAAAACTATTCGTCTTGTTCATTTTAATAGCTGCCAGCTGCCTAGTTAATTAACATCTTGTGGTACCTACTTAGCTAAAGTCAAAGTTAATTTTCAATGCATAATTTAAGCTCTTTGACAACTATGATTGATAGTTGGTGTAATTTTGAGAATTGCTCAGAATTGGAAACACGTAATGCCATGAATACTACAAAAATACATAAACTGGTTTGGTATATGATTTTGTAATTATAAAAATTAATTAAAGCGTCCAAACATAAAGTCACCAACCGTTTGAATTATATCCAAATCGGTCATAAAGTTCAAAAACAATGTATTTGATTAAAAATAAGTCAAACTTTAAAATGGAGGATTACATATATTTAATGCAAATTCTATGGAATTCTTAAGGTGTTGTACTATATCCATCATCCATGTGAGTTTTTCAATTTTAGTCTCTCTACTTGTTAGTGTCAATTTTAGTACTTGATTTTTTATTTCCCCATTTTTAATCCGTTGGCTATTGTACCAGAAACACTTTTAGTCTTCCACTTCTGAGTATTGTCAAATTGACTTTGGTCATGCCACTATGATTTTGGCACAATAACTAGAAGACTTAAAATGTTACTATCATAATAATTGAAGAATCAAAAGTGTCATTTTTATTAAAATTGAAAGACTAAAATATGGAAGATTTTAAAGACGAGTAACAAAGATGTCTATCATACAAATATATATTTGAAGAACTAGAGTGAAAATTTTAATAGTGGAACATAAAAAATGTCACTAACATAACACTCAAAAGACTAAAAGTGACATAAACTCTTATCCATGTGGACCAATTAAAATTTTATTATAATTGAACAATTAAATATGAATAAATAATGAAATAATTACTTGAATCAATCAAATGGAACACAAATTAAATATCATAAGAATTGTAGGATAATTTAAACTTTAATCAAACTTGAAAATGTTTTCATTAAAAGTCACCTATACACATGCTTCTCTTCGGAAAAAGGAACACAAATTAAATATCATTAGAATTGTAGGATAATTTAAACCGAAATAATAATAGGCTTAACACAAATTATATTCCGTATTCTATAAATGAACACAAAAGTAAGAACCTAACATAAAATTGGTCCACCTACTTTACAAAAGTAAGAACCATCATATTATTATACACATGAAGTCAGTTTTGTTGATACACAGGAGTATTTTCATAAAAGTTGTGACCAATATACACTCTTCTCTAAGAAAGATAGAGGGGTGATAATAATATATGCATACGAAGTATTTCGGGAAAACTGTCAAATAAGTCCTCCTACTATGTAAGAAAAGTCAATTAAGTCCTTGTACTTTAAAAACACCCAATTGAATCCCTGAACTCTTAAAAAATGCTCAATTGAGCAGTTTAGTCGGTTAAAATCCGATTTCCCGGTTAACAAGACCATGTTGTGGCCTACGTGGCGTTTCTTCGTTTCTTCTTGTTTTCCTTTTTTTCCCATCCTTCGTTTCTCCCCAGCACCTTCCACACTCCTTCAATAGTCTTTCCATCTTTCCTAGTATGTATTCTTTCTCCTGCTACACCTTCCAGACCCTTCATCCAGGCAGTCGGCGCCAACACCTTCTTCACTGCCTTGTGCCCCTAGCTCATGACCTCGAAGAGAGGCTAGGGTTACCTATGCTACTCTTGTCCCTGTCTTCGTCGGAGTTGTCATTGTGAGAAACACTCAATTGAATTGAAGGATGAACCACTGCCTGCTGAGCTTCCAGCCTCCATTAATGGAGGATGAACACCAAATGCAAGTTTAGAACCATTGATCAACTCTGATGTCTGCCAAATGAATTTAGAACGCACTCGAGGTTCCAATGCAGCCCCAATTGCTCATCAATGGCAGATTCAACCATAACCGAGCTTCTCAATCGCCATCAATGGCCGATTGGCAACCAAATCGAGCTTCAACAACCTAAATAAATAGAAAAGATTATCCAGAGAAAATCTAAATCGCCAGAGATAGCGCCGCTTGTGATTTTTTTAAACCTAACCTGAAAACTAAATTCAGGACCTTCAAAACTGGTCATGAATGTAAACAAAGCTCCAAACATCAATTAATGGCAGAAGCTCCAAAGTTGAAAGGACTGGGACGGGAAGAACGAAAGAAACAGAGGGAAAAAATAAAAGGAAAACCGAAACAAAAAAGAAAAAACAGACGTGGCAGCCCACGTGCGCCAGCAACTGGGAAACCGGTTGTTCACCGGCAAAATAGCTTGATTGGGCGTTTTTTCAGAGTGAGAGGATTTAATTGAATGTTTTTGAAGTAGGAGGACTTAATTGACTTTTCGTACAAAGTAGGAGGACTTATTTGACAATTTTCCCAAGTATTTCTTAGAATTCCACCGCATAAATAGCTCTAGAGGATGGAATTTTTACCCAAGTTTACTTAATTACTATACGTTACTTCTATAATTAAATCACATAGACCAATATTCATATAGACCACTATGACCAATCAAACCGTCATTAATTAAAAAAACTATTCAAATTAGACAGATATTATATGACGTACTCCAACATGGATTTAATTATGGGATTGCAACCTTATTAGCAAGGGCGTTGACCAAAGCTAGCGCATTACTCGTCAGCTCCTTAACCTTCACAACCCCATTGTACACGCCGGATCTGACGGGCCCACTTTCCACGTCATCAAATCCGTCCACACACGTGTCCTCGTTCGTCTCGGCGGCACTCATCCACGTCAGCACATTGTTGAGCTGAAACCCTTGCTCGTCAGCCGAGCCACCGAGCCGTTTCATCTGCATGAGCGAGTCCTGCATCTGGTCAACGGAGTCTCCGAGGGTGGAGGAGCAGTCGTTGAGCACCGCCGCCACTCGGTGGTCGTCTCCGTTATCAGCCAGCGGAGAGAGGTTGTTGTTGACGTAAGTCGTCACCCTCCTGGCTTTGCTCAGGCTAACCGCGATGGCCACGCGAGCCAGCCGGCCGGCGTCTTGCTGTACGGCGCTAGCGTAGCCGGAGAGCGTGGCGTAGCATACGTCGGGGTAGAGTGTGTGCTGACAGCTCTTATAGATGAATTCGGTGTTCGGACCGGTGGTGGTAGAGGCGGCAGCCGTCGGGCTGACGAACGCGGCGGTAGAAGGCAGGTGTGTATAGAGAAGCCCCGTGAAAAGGAGAGTGAATATGAAGGAAAATGTAGGATTTGGTTTCATGTTTACAATGAGAGGTATAAAGTAAGGAAACATGGAACCTATATACAAGTATATAAGAGTTTATATGTTGGAAAACCTCTAAAGTTTGGCCCTCATAAGAGTGTAAATGGCGCCTTCTAATATACTTGTACATACATACGTGATACGTATAATGCGAGAGGAGTGATTAGAATTTTAGATCATGGAGCTGAGTATTAATTAGTCCGACGACATTGCTATCCAAACCATATTTAATAGTACTAGTAGTCAATAGATTGAAAAACTCTCTTAATGTAGTACTCTGTTCTCCGTGTGTTTTTCCCAAGTAACAATAAGTTAATGTTAAGATTTATGATGTTGTTTTTTGAATAATTTTCAGTTCCACAGCAAACTAGACAAGACTAAAACAAACCAAATCGAATCAAACTAAAATAGATTAGTTCAACATATTTTAGCTCAAAAGAAAACATTCTAACTACCGTATATTGGTATTAGAATCCCTCACTTTAAATGTGACAAAATTTCATAAGTGACTATATTTTAAATCTATAAGCGCATAGATCGAGTAGTACCCGGAGTACTTATTTCTATTTAGGAAATAGGAATACAGTCCTCATATTTTGAAATTCTAAACCGATTTACTCATATTTATTTGTGGAAATTACACACACGGTCCCTCTTTTAGAATCAGATATCATCTATGTCTCGATTGATTTCTCTTTTCATTTATAGACTTTTAAGTTTTCAATAATGGGATTTTTATTTCACTTCTAGATAGGCTCCGTGACTTCCGTCGACACATACTTTTAAACCTTCAACATTCGCCATCCTCTCCGACTCCCCGACTTCTCCCCTCTTATCTTAACATCTTTATCTGAGCGTTTGAATTCATGGAGTTCTTCCTACATCGATCTTCCAAATTGTTTTCATCGCAGCGGACGAGGCAACATCTGAAGAAAGGGAGATTGCATCTCAGTGTTGATAGGTTGGAATCGGAGCCTTGAGTTCATGACACACTTTTCGGGATCGATCGATCCCTTATCCCAACGATTCGGCCCCTCTCTACCAGCCAATTGTTCAGCGGTCAACAACCAACGCCGATTCACATCCTCTAGAGCCCGCTGCAGCCCCATCTCAGCCAGCGCGCCCGCAACGGCACCTTGGTAAGTTATCTTCCCGTCTAAAGTAGCTGTTTAGAAGCTCGTTCTTCAATTAGGCGCTAGAGGTTTGAATTTGTCTCAAGTTTGTGGTTCCTCGACTGTGAATAAGTTCTGATCTAAAGGTTCTGCTTGTTTCTATATTCCTCTGTTTATTACTCTTTGGCTGAATAGATACGATTTTAGAACGACCTCAGAGCTTGTGAAATCTAGTGGAATCGTGCTTTTCTAGTGGATACTCTTGCTCTGGTAATTAGCGGTATTGTTGGTGCTGCAGGTTTGAATTCGTCTCAAGTTTTGTGTTGGGAAGTTGCTTTTGCAGGGACTGGTCTTGTTGGCGGGGCTGGAAAAGGGGACCGGGGCTGGGCTATACAATTGAACAATTGTTTCACCGATCTGAAAGAATTGAAAATTGGGTCACTATAGAGGAGATTTTGTCGGAAGTAGTCACCGGAAGAATTGATGTTAAGATGCATAAAAGGAGAGGGAGAGAGCTATGCAAATGGATTGGTCTTTGTTGATCTTTGGTGCTGTTCTAATCTACTGCTTGGTTGTTGTATTGGTTGCTCGGGAACATCTAAGCACAAAAGAGTGCGAGAGCCTTAGCTTCACTGGTATTGCTCTCTGTTCCAATTGCAAAACACATTCGGAGTATGTGAAAGATCAAGAGGCAGTTTTTGATTGTTTGAGGTGTTGCACACTTGCACTGAAGACTCTAATAATGCCACAAGCAAGGTTGTATATGCGGAAGCAGTTATAGAAGTCTGCATGAGAAAATTGGTATTCTACCTTGACATTGTTGACTTTATTGAAGAAGAGAAAGAGAAGTACGTACTTCAGTTCTTAGCAGTAAAGGTTAAGCCATCCTCAGATCTTTAGTACTGGGGATGAAATCATCTTATAACCAACCTTATCTCCATATATACAATAGAGTATTCTATATTATTAGCGCATCAGTTAGTACTCCTTTCATAGTAATATGCAGCTTGGGTAAACCATTTTGCCTTTTTCAGCTTGTGCAGCAGTATTCTGTACACTTGGACAACCATTGTTGTATTCACTTGGTGCATTTTATTTCTTAAAACAAAAGATGCATAAAAGTATCTGAAGGAATGCCAAATTATACAATACATATATGTAATACATTGAAATACCATATTGAATTACATAATTGGTGTGATACTTTTATATATTTCTTTTTGTTTCTTTTTGTTGCATTAAATGTGTTGCTTTTTGTTTCAACATGTTGTTTTTTGTTGCATCGTGTTGCACTTTGTTGCATTTTGTTAGTTATTTTAGTTTTATTGTTGCTCTTGATGTTTGTTGTTTATGCATGATTTTATTTATATATCTTTGCTACTTTTTTGAAGTAAAAGATCACATGTAGATTTATATTAAATCTCAAAAATGATAAATTGGCATTCCTGAAACAATAAAAAACAAAAATTCCAGACATATCAACAAAAGGAAACAAAAAGAAACAATATGCAACAAAAGGAAATAAAAACAAACAATATGAAAAAAAAACAAATAGGTCATATATTTATTTATTGAATTTATAAATTTCTTACTTTATTTTTTAAAAAAATTACTTTGTATATATTTCGTTTCCTAAAATAAAAATTGTTTCAAAAAAAGATTCTAGTTGCTTATGATAATTTTTAAATTTTCAAAACCATTTTTTTATATATATTTTTAATTTTTTTAAATTTTATATATTTAGAGTTTATTTTTTTTTCATATTTTGAGAATTTTTTACCTTTTCATTTTTAATTTTTTTATTTATACATTTCATTTTTTAATTAATTTTATAACATTTCAATTATTTGTATTTTTTTGTTTTTTATATATAAATTTAGGGGTATATGAAGTCTTCTAAAAATAAAACTACAAAGAATGGTTACTTTTCTACAATTTTTCCACTTTACAAACTATTATAAACCTTTCTCATTTTCACTTTTGAGTTTTGTATTTCCAATTTCTCTATACTTTTGTTAACATTCTTTTTATTTATTTTTCCACTTTATATTCCATTTTTAAAGTTAACTTGCAACTTTTCTACTTTGATTTTTTATTATGCATTATTTTATTATTTTATTACTTTTTATGTTATCTACTTTTATTACTTATGTTATTTTCTAATTATTTCAATCTTTTTTCATTTTACTAAATATTTGCTTTTTTCTATTTAAAATTATGAATTGAGTAATAACTAGTTTTGGACTTTGTATAAATTTATCATGGTGGAAGAATATACAAGTACGGAGTAGCAAATATATCATAGACTATGAGCAGCCTACTCACTCCGTAAGTGGAAGAATATATACTAATGGTCACCGTGTTAAGCGCTAGAGTCTATTATTGAAATTAAAACTTGATTAGTCTATTTTTGAAAAGAAATTTCAAAAATGAAAAAAGTGATATTATTTTTAATTTTTGATCTACTTGTGTAAAATTCCCTATTTATTTAAGATAACTTCGGGCTAAATATACCTTACCACACACATATAAAAAAAACAAGGCAAACTAGATCACACATACTAAATTTAGATCATAGTATGACACATTCCATGTAAAACTTTATCGAACTAGACCATATTTAATTTGGTATTTTGGCTTAACTAGTCTTGAGTAGAGCAAATTTAAATAAACAAAAAATCCAAGTTAAAATATTATAAAACATACAAATAGTTTACAAATAGGACTTACTTAGTCCTAATAAAAAAATATAAAATGATTAATTTTGTTCTTAAGACTGAATTAGTCTATCCTATTTTTGTAAGAGTATAACGTAATACTATTTAATTTGAAAAAATGAACTACTACGTATATACTACTCAAATTTAGAAAATTTATTTTCTTTATATTGTTTAGGATGGATGAATAAAGATGGTATTGATGCATGTGTAGCAAAAATGATACAATGGGAGTCCCTACCTTACCATATTCAAGTTAATCGATCAAGTGCATTACAATTGACACTTTTTGTATTGTACATATATATTATTGATAACCATGATCATATTTTTATTAATTATCATTAGAGATATCATTATTTATTGATATTTTCACCCATCCAATATTGTCAACACAGTGTTCATCCAAATGACATTAATTGTTATTTGTTTTCTCAAAAACTTAATCTCTTTTTAAGTCATAAATATTATAGGCCGGGTATATTTGCAAAAAATTAAAAAAAAAATGATTTTCAGCTTTTAACATAAAAAAACATAAACCCTCTGATGGGTTTGTCCGCACGGGGCTTCTCTTCAGGAGCTCCTTATAGGAACGAGACTATATATATATATATATATATATATATATATATATATATATATATATATATATAAGTAGAGGAATGCTCAGGTCCATCCGGAGGGACAGGAGGTGTCGTCCGAACTTTACTGTTTGGGGTGGATCCCGGTGGAATTTTTTGATGAATTTTTTGAGCATGTTCCTCATCAAGTCTAGTTTATCCATACCAAATTTCGATCGGGAAGACATTCAAATAAATTCTTGAAACATACGGCACATTCTGCGCACATATAATGTGCAGTATGTTTCAAGAATTTATTTGAATGTCTTCCCGATCAAATTTTGAGCTGAAATTTGGTATGGATAAACTAAACTTGATGAGGAACATGCTCAAAAAAATTCATCAAAAAATTCCATCGGGAACCGCCTCAAACAGTAAAGTTCAGACAGAGCCTCACGTCCCTCCGGATGGACCTGAGCATTCCTCTATATAAGTATTACTACGTATTAAATTTCAATGAATGTGAGTTTCCAAAATATAAACTTTTTATAATATTTACTACTATGTAATTAGTTATAGTTACAGTCAAAGTTATGTCGTGGCTTGTTAAAACATTGCCATTAAAAAATAATAAAAGTAATATTTTGAATAAAAATTTTGTAAATTCAACAGATTCAACTAATTCAATCATTTTAGCTAAATTGCCATCAATTTCAATACCTAATTCA